CACTCGCGGGGACTTAGTCTACTATGTCTCTGTTTTGGCTCGGGGCCAGAGCTCGCCGCTGGAGGTGCATGAGCGCGCTATGCGCGCTGTCTTGCGGTACCTCAAGACTGTCGTCAACTACTTTCAGCTTTTTCCGCGCCAAAGTGTTGAGAAACGCCGTCTCCATGCCTATGTGGATGCCTCGTGGGGCAGCGAGCGCTCCGTCGATCGTCGGTCGATCTCGGGAGGGTGCCTCATGCTTGGAAAGGCCTGTATTAAGACGTGGGCGAGACTGCAGCAGTCCGTTGCTTTGTCGTCGGCCGAGAGCGAGCTCTATGCATTGGTTGAAGGGGCTAAGGAAGCCCTAGGGGCACGGTGTGCTGTTGAGCATATTCTGGGGTGTGACCCAGTTGTGCCTCTGCTTTACTGTGATAGTGAGGCCGCCGTTGCAATCAGCCAAGCTGAGGGTCTTCGCAAGCTACGCCACATCGATATCAGGTCTTGTTTTCTCCAACAAGAAGTTCAGTCCGGATCCCTCCGCGTGGTTTCTGTGCGTGGCACTGAGAATCCTGCGGATATCTTTACCAAGAACTTAGATTTAGCCTCCACGCTTAAGCACATGCATCATGTGGGTCTGCGCGCCGCCTTGCTTCCAGAGGGGGTAAAGGGGTTGGCAATGACAATTTTGCGGAATTGTGTTGCGAAGGGAGGGATTTCTTCGTTGATGGAACGGTTTAGACCTCAAAAGGGACAGAAGTGGCTGTTTGTGGAGTTTTGCGCGCCGCTTGAGTCAGGGTTTTCCAGGGTCTGTGCTAGGGAGTTTCCGAAGATTCATCTTTTGACTGTGACCGCCGCCGATGATGGAACGAAGAAAGAAACTCGAGAAGATCTCGTTGCCATTGTGGGGAAAGCAAGGGGTCGCGGCATGAGGGTTTTCTTCTGGAGCTCGACTCCATGCACTGGAGGATGCCCGTATCAGCGGATGAACCTCAAGAGGTACGGAGACAGTTACCAGAAGCATCTTGACGGCCTTTGGGCTGTTCACCGGAAGCTGTGGATCGCTGTCCGAGAGATGTGTGATCTTTCTGATCATTGGGCTATCGAGTGGCCAATGAAATGCGCTTATTGGACCTGGAAGCAGACCCAGCACTACTTTAAGCTACAGAAGTACCAGATCCATGATTCGATTGTGGATGCGTGCTCCGTTGGCCTTCAGGGGTGCGATGGGCTCTTGGTTTCTAAGCGTTGGAGGGTTAGGGTTACACACGAGAGGGTCGCGACTCAGCTTTCTGCTTTGCGCTGTGACGGCTCTCACGAGCATTCTATGCGCTTTGTGCTTCGAGATACTCAGCACTACCCCGAACTTCTGTGTAGAAGGGTTTTGGAGAGCTTAGAGTGACTAAGTTCCTCTTCGCAGCCATTTCCACTCAAAATTTTTCCTTTTAAGGGTTTGGTAGTCCCGCCGGAATGGACCACTACGGTCTCCAGGCTTTCAAGGATGCCATGGTTTCTCTTTCTTTCGTCGACTTGCAGAATGAAGCACCGCTTCTTGAGAGACTGCTTGTCTTGACTTTTGCCGCAGGGTTTGTGACAGGGTGCGTCTTCCTAGGGGTTGGTCGCTGTCTGTACGCCCGCTGTCTGGCAGAGCCAGAATGGCCAGTACTTTACTTGACTTCCAAAGGTGCTTGCTATCACGTGAAACGTGATTGTCCAAGCATTCGGCATACGACGCCGCTGACACGCAGGATCTGTCTTTTCTGCGCTCGGGAACCTTCGAGGCTTCAAGAGTCTACAAAGAAGGGTGACTGACCCGAACGCCCAGAGGGGGTGTAAACGTATATCCTCTGTTTGGGAGGATATGGTGGGCGTCCGGCTCATCTGTAGAAACCTGAACAGTTCTCGGCTAGTTTCCTGGCACTTGGAGTGTGAGGGACTCTTTTCGCTTTAAGGCCGTAGGTCCTGTAGGTTTTCCCTGTTTTCGGACGTTCTGAGGAGCTTTGGTAGTACCAGGGTGCTTTTGGCCCATGGGAAGTTGTTTAGAGAGCTCCGAGCCACCTTTAGGTAGTTTGCACCTCGGTTTGCTGGAAGACTTTGTGCCGACTTGGCTCAAGACCGGAACTGCGTGTGGAGTGCAGCAAAACGAAGGTCTCTGTCCGAGTGTTGTGCTTGGTAAGGGGTTTTGCTGGGGCTTGTTGCAGTTTCGTTCTTTTTCGGACTGCCAGGAGCTGTGCTTGGAGAAAGTCTAACGAAAAGAAAGCAACCCTCCAAGGAAGGTCTATTACCGCTTTGGCGACATAAGAACCAACCGGTGTTTGGCGCGAGCGCTGGCGGATTGGGACAGGACACTAGAGAGGCCCACTTTGAAAGGCGCCGTTTTTTAGCAGGTTTTGGGTCCCAAAAAGTGGGGCCCCTCGAAGCTTTTGCTGGTGAACCTAATTTTTCTATGCCGTGTTTGTGACAGTTGTCAAGCCAGGCGGGCTTGCCGAGCGCGCCAGCAGTCCGGCTTTGGGGCTTTCCGACATTTCGCAGCAGGGTCCAGAGTGCTGCCCACATTGTGTTGTTTATCGCGAATTCGGTTTCTCCGAACAATAGAACCACCAGGCGAGTGGGAAAAATGCTATTTCTACTGAAAATGTGCACGCAGCGGGAGACACAGAACAGAACGGTTTTAAGCGTTTTACAGTAGCGCGGCGCGCAATCATAACGTGCTTTAGGCGCGTTATGATCATTTTCGCTTGCAGTTTCCAAGGAAACGTCAAAATCGTAACGTGCTTCGTGCGTCAAACAAAGCTCTTTAGTTTTTTTTGTGGCGCGCAAAGCACGTTACGATCTCGAGTTTTCCCTTGCAAATGCCAGCCAAATCAATTGTAACGCGCCTAATAAGCGGCAGCTGTACCTTCTAAGGTTCCCAGTTGTTGATTTGAAGCACTTACACTTGCTTTGGAAAATCTTGCACAGCTTGTTTTGCATGTCATGTGAGTACGATTTGTTTTGGCATGGTGAAAGCTTGGAACGAAACCATTTCGCATGTTTTCGAAACCTTGTTTTTGTCAGTCTATTGGTCGGTCGGTCGGTCTGCCTGTCGGTCATCCCGCCCGAACCTCAAAGTGAGCTTTGCGGACGAGACTCGGACTGCTGAAGAACAGCAGAATGAAAAGTGTGGAGCGTGCCCGCTCTGTGTGAGTGCTGTGTGTGAGAGGTCTAGAGGCCCCGAAGGTTCCCCAGAGGTCTCTCGGAAACTAACGTGGTCCACGGCTTCTTTCAGATGCAAGCCCAAGTAAGGCACGAGCTTAGGCGTCGCCGAAACCACCTGGCCGTCCTGGATGAGGGACTGGGTGTAAGGGCTGAGTTGCGACCTCGTCACCGACATCTTGCAGACGGGAGCCCAATCCACAGCAGAGTGGCGAAACCAAGGCACATCGAAGCTCACCTCGACCATGTAGCAAGCCTCTTCGTCGTCCCGCTCGTAGCGGAGCTTCGTGCTCCAGAGCCATGGCAAGCCATGGTCCAGCTGATGCAGCAGGGAGAGACCGCTCTCCGAGAGGGAGGAGCTGTGACTCGAGTGGGAGAGCTAGTCGTTTGAGTTCTAGCCTCTCTGCAAGGTCTGATTCAGTGCCACGAGTGCGTGCGAGAAGTGTACCGGCAGCCAACTCACCTTCTGCACGCCGTCCCGGAGTACACCTGAGGCCTTTAGCCTCTGCGGGCCAGACTCCGACAGCACAGGCTGCGCACCAGACGCAGTACTTCAGTTTGGGAACGCCACCACAACAGCCTCCTGCGCCAACTGTGCCTCAACAGTTGCCAGTGAACCCTGGAAGCCTTGACGACAACACTGTGAATCTGTTTCGGCAGATGATGCAGGCCCAGGACGAGCAGATCAGGGCTCAGCGGCCCAAGTGCAGCAGCTCACTAACCTGGTGAAGGACCTGGCAGTGCTTGGTGTCCAGAACGCCAGCCAGACAAGTGCCAGTGCAGCTGCGACCGCGCCTGCAAGCTCTTCGGGTGACACCTCTGGTCCCGCGCCAAGGGAAGTTGACACGGGAATCCGCTCTAGAAGGGCAGAGAGCTACATTCCGACTCTGCCTCAGCTGAACTTTGCCTCGATGAACACGAGGCATGCTGAGATTCGGGTTTGGAGTGCTTACAAGGAGGAGCTCACCAGCTGGCTCTGTTTGCTTGACGACCGGTTCGCAGAAGAGCTGGACGAGTCAGAGCAGAGCGCCGTCCCAGTTCAGCAAAGTACGTTGGACGTCGGAAAGGCAGCGCGGTCCAGCAAGCTTTGGTTCTTGCTACGCCAGAGTTTGAGCAAGTTTCAAAGAGCCCAGGACCTCATCCACCTGATCGAGGTTGCTCAGAAAGGAGCAAGTGCTGGTTACGAGTTCTGGCGCCTGCTCAACCGAGAGCTCTCGGTCCGTTCGAGGGTGGAGGGCCAAGCGCTGAGGGAGCAGATGATCAATCTTCACCCTCCCAAGCACCTCAAGCGACCGCTTGATGTGATGAGGTGGTACATGACTGAGCTCATGAAGTTTGAGTCTCAGGTTGGCAAGAAGTACCCTGAGCTTAAGGTCCACGAGCAAGAAGCTGTTCTGGGAGTCTTGAAGCACCTGGACGAGGACGCGAAGAAGTACCTTTTGTTGCACCAGACCACCAGCGGTCTGGATGCAATGTTGCAAGGGCTGCAGTTTTACGACGAGCAGCTTCGAGTGCTAAACTTCCAGAAGGAGCACCACCACGGCTACCTGAACGCGTTCGGTGCTGGAAAAGGCGACAAGGGTGACAAAGGGAAAGGCGACAAAGGCAAGAAGGGCAAAGGAGACAAAGGGAAAGGTAAAGACAAAGGAAAGGGCAAAGGAGAGCGAGCAGACAAGGGCAACAAGGAGAAGGAGAAGCCCGGAAAGGGTTCAGCTGCACGTGCCAAGAGCAAGGCCAAGAAGACCGACGTTTGCCACAACTGCGGGAAGAAGGGACATTGGGCCCGCGACTGTTGGCTGAAGCAAGCTGCTGCGGTTTCCCCCCACGAGGCCAACGCCACTGTGACGACAGGCGCTGCGGAGAGTTCGGGGAGCGCTACAGCTGCCAAGGCTGCGCCGAAGGCGCCGAGCAACCAGCCCACTACGAAGGGCGACGTTGGGAAGGGAACAGAGAAGGGCGTCAGAACGTTCCTTGAGGGAGCATACTTTGCGATGCCCATGGTCGCACCTTCCTTCGTTGAGTCGGGAGAGAAGATCTATTGTTGTGTGGTGGACATGTGCCTGTCTCTGGGGATGTTGAAAACATTTAAAAATGCAACATAAATGCGTTTTGAGACATGGACCTGTTTACCCAAATGCAACTTGAAAATGCAGCTGCTTTCGAAATGCGAATACTGAAATGCAAACAAAATGGAATGGTCCTTGAAACAATGCAAATGCTTTGCAAGTTGTTTTCAAAGATGAATATAATATCGTTGAAATTGTAATAAACTTTGGAAATGCTTCTTCAACCAATACAATAAATGACTTGGAGTTAAGTGTTTTTTCAATCGCCCAAGGCATACAGCTTTTCCCTTCGCTTTAAATTTTGAATGTATGTATTTTTCTCAGCAGCAGCCTGTCGTCTATGGTGGTCTACAGTCATATACATGTCATATATGGGCGCGCTGCGCAGTGGATGGACAGGGTGGTTCGAGGAATCCGGTTTGGGACGAGATTTGTTTGAGCTGGGCATGCGCAAGCAGGCAAATCAACACGGTGTTCTAAATCCCGACTATGTCCTGACTACGTGACTATGTCCTATAATCTTATAAGTATGCTGCACAGTTTGATTGACATCGCAAGTTTCACACAGACACAAGACAACTCAGGGCCTGCGGGCTTTGGAGTTTTAGGAGCGGGCTTTCCGCGCACGCTTTCCAGATCGCAGAGTCAGTCAGGAATGATTTAAACGGAGCTCGTTCTGGCCGCCCAGCATAGGCTTCGAGCGTCGGTATGTTTTTGGTTATGTTTCGTGACATCAGAATGGTCCAAGCTTCAAGTCAATGACAGTTTGCTTGACAGCATGCACCCGGACCTCTCTTTGGCTACCGTTAGCGAGCTAATAGTTGGTCGTGCGTGGCAGCTGACTGCAGTCACTGCCTGAGTTTTTTTCCTGTGCGCTGAAATAGGCGACTTCCAGAAGCCATTTTACGTGATAGGTTCTGGTCTAGGCCGAGGCCCAAAGCACACTGTGTGGAATTGTTTCTTCTGGACAAACCATAGGCTGCAGGCTATGCCAGCTTCACCAAGAATTTTCCTTAAACTTAGGCCCTAAACCCTAAACCGGTTGGATTTGTTCTGCGATTGGAAATTCCCAGTCCATTCTCCTTGCTTTTCCGTTTTTCGTGTGCCGATGCAGGTTGCAGTTTCCCTACAGTTTGGTCGCATTCGCCAGATCCCAAAAAAGTTGCATTTCATGGTGTAAATTGCGGAATATTTGCGATTCAGGCGAGTATTCCCGAATGCAGACTAAATGCAGGTGTCAATGGGCCTTGCAAAAAAGGGGCCTCCGCCTGACGCGAGCAAAATGCAGGGTTGCAGGGTTATTGCGCCTTGCAAAAAGGGAGCCACGAAACGTCCTCCGATGTGGCCTGGGGCCTGCTAGCTGCTAGGCGGCATGCTCCGCGTGGCACCTGTTGCAATTTAGGATTTTTGTCATTGGAACACTGCATGAAAGATTGGGTAGGTGAATAAGAAAGAGAAACGAGTTTGTGGAATTCGGACATGATTGTTGTGATTATGGCTATGAGATGGAGCGCATGAATCTTGTCCTACATTATGGTGGGTTACAAGCGCACTATCTATAAGAGTTATGATGTCGCAGCATGCCATGACATGCTATAACACAGATATAGAATGAACAAATGATCGATACAATAGACCCTAGATTCCCTAGATGCCCTAGATATAGAAATACGAGTATAACTGTAATAGTAACTTGTAACTAATGCAGATAGTTGTACGTGAATTATTGATGAAGGAATTAGTTCCACTTCTCAAGAAGTATTGTATTGAGGTCGGTCTTCATCATCAACATGAACATTGAGAGCAGTATGAATATGAAGAATAGTGACATTCCTATTGCCTTATGTATTGGTAGTAATATATATGTTAAAATTAGAAAGTTGTTATAAGTCGTAATACGAATCTACGTGTACGTAGGGTTATTTTGGGTTGTAACCGTGCTAACAAGATTAGCAATGATATTCATATTGATCTTTGTATTGTTATGTTTGATTCTATGAGAATAAATACAAAAATTGTGAGTATGAAAATAGCTAAGATAAGTATTATTAGTATTAACAGTATACACACTAATATGTATACAACACTAATACTAGTGCCCATACATATATATATATATATATGCTCACCCCCCCCCCGTTGACAGACCGCGGGTCTAAAAAACACCGTGCACGACGATATTCTATGAAGCAAAACCTTTACATGAGGTACATAGTATAGCACCAGACGTGCGGCACATGAGTTACGTAACAGTCTTGTGGTAGTATCGGTATTAGGGTGAGTATTATTATTAATATTAGTACTATTGTTTGCTGTAAGTATACGTATCAATATTGCCAACTATAAATTAGTGTTAGTGCTCATGTTCGTGTTAGAGTTAGCGCTAGTGCCAGTGTCAATGTCAGTAATACAGCACCACTGCTACGAGTAGTATCAGTATCAGTCTTAATGCTGGGTTTAACAGCAGCTTATATTCGCAGAAGTGCTAGTATTAGTATCAATATTAGAACTAGTTAGTTTGGATATGTTAGTATATTGATAGTCTCGTATATTAGCAGATGAGTATATCAGTACATCAATGTATTCGAACAGTAAAATATTTGCACACTTGTATACTAGTATATTTTACATGTTAGTACAACTGGTGCATGAATACACTACTATACTGCTGTACTAGCTTACTAGTATATTGACATACCAGTATATTCGAACGTTAGCATATTAGTGTACGAGTATGTGTACTATATGACTGTTTTATCTAATCATTTATAAGTATATCAGTATGTTGGCATATTGGTATACGAACTTGTCATGTCGGTATTCTTGCATAGTGCAGTAGCCGTATATGAGTACAGTCACATATTCGTGTAGTATACTCATACAACAACGAGAGGTATATTGATACATTGGTATATGGGCATATGCCTATGCCAAAGCATTAATACATGAATGCACTGACGTATATATCTGTATCTTAAGATAGTGGTATGTATTTTATGTACATTAGTATATGCAGGTGTCTATTAGTAATGATATTAGTCATCATATCAATATGAATATACTATTGGTGTTCGTAGCAGTATTAATTAATGTCAATATTATTAGAAATAGGACTATTTATACTCGTAATAGCCATAATATGAGTGTTCATGCTGGTAATACTAGTGGCATTCTTGAATATTCAGCAGATTATCAAAGTCCGTACTAGTGTTGGTGATAGCATCACTGTTAACGCACAAGAGTTTACGTACTCGTATTCGTAGGAGTATCAATAGCTATGTAAATATTGATGTTAGTATAAATTTTGTGTGAAGTATTAGCAGTAGTGTTAGCTGTATTTTATGTACATTAGTATAAGCAGGTGTCCATTAGTAATGATATTAGTTTTCATATCAATATGAATATACTATTGGTATTCGTAGCAGTATTAATGTCAATATTATTAGAAATAGGACTATTTATACTCGTAATAGCCATAATATGGGTGTTCATGCTGGTAATACTAGTGGCATTCTTGAATATTCAGCAGATTATCAAAGTCCGTATTAGTGTTGGTGATAGCACTACTGTTAACGCACAAGAGTTTACGTATTCGTATTCGTAGGAGTATCAATAGCTATGTAAATATTGATGTTAGTATAAATTTTGTGTTAAGTATTAGCAGTAGTGTTAGCGTTAGTACTATAATATTATTGATGATATACATTCGAAAGAATGTTTGTAGTATTATTACTCTTGATCACGTGAAATTCTAACAGTTGAATACATGAGTGAGTTAAAGGATTTGTATTTTAATATGGTGGTATGCATGTTTATGTACATTAGTACATACAGGTGTGTGTTAGTATTGGTATTAATATACATTATTATCAATATGAATATGGTTATTGATATGCGTAGGAGTACTAAGAGCAATACTAATCAATCTTAGTATTTGTGTTATGCATATTCGTACTAAGCTTTATAGAAGTGTAATATTAGTAGTAATGCTGCTATTAGCTTGAGCATTCAACAAATGATCACTGTCAGTATTTCCTATGGCAATACTATATGTAGGAGTATCAATACATATATGTATATACAGATAGACAGGTAGATTGAGAGATATTCGTTTAAATATGGGCATGAGTATTGACAGCCCTTGCCTTTGCAAGTAAGTCGTGCATGGTCTGTCATCGGATGGGTCACAATCAGCCCTCCTGAGAATCAATTCCAAGGTCCAGAGATTCCCAAATTTCCAAAATTTCCAAAATTTCCGAAATTTACTAAATTTCCAAAATGTTCAAAAGTTCCGAAATTTCCAAAACTTCCAAAATTTCAAAAATTTCCAAAATTTCCAAAATTTCCGAAATTTCCAAAATTTCCGAAATTTACGAAATTTCCAAAATTTCCAAAATTTCCAAAAAGTCCGCCCTTATGTTTTGGAAAAATCCTGTCCACTAGGTCGGGCCGTTTTGGAAATTTTGGAAATTTTGGAAATTTTGGAAATTTTGGAAATTTTGGAAATTTTGGAAATTTTGGAAATTTTGGAAATCCGGAAAGTTAAGGGAGAGAATTTTGGAAATTTTGGAAATTTTGGAATTGAGTTTTTGAAAGCTGAGTACCCCCTCCCCCGATCACAGACCATGCACTACGACTGAGTTGAAAGGGCATGGTCTGTCAACGAGTCTTTTGGTGGTTCCACAGATACGTTCGGAGGGCTCAAACTCGATCCCCCGGAAAAAGCACGAACACACCGGTGGGAGCGATGTTTTGAAGGGGATGGTCTGTCAACGGGGGGGGGGTGACCATATATATATATATATATATATATATATTAGTATTCGTATTAATAGCTTTATTAATACCAATATTTGTTTTACTATTAAAGCCCATTATGTGGATTAATACTATTAACACTATTCATATTGTTCTTATTATGATTTGTAATACTATAGTACTGGAATATGGATGTCCTGCCTGCATTTTGATTGCATGATGATTGCATTATTTTTGCATGCTGAAATCCAGGAGTCCATTTTTCGTTTGCATTCCATTTCCATTTCTTTGCATATTTAATAAATGGCCTTTCCCCAGAGACAGGCCCAACGTCCACCACACAAATCTATTGGCTTCTCGACTCTGGGAGCTCGTACCATGTGGTTTCCCAGGCGACGCTTGAGAGTGGACACGTCAAGGTTTTGTCGAGAAAGAAGCGACCGAAGACTGTGTGCCAGACTGCCACTGGCGACCTGGTGGAAGTGGGAAGCGACACCCACGCGACGATCGAGGTGAATTTTCTCACCACTCGACACTTTGAGCAGCGAGGAGGAGTTCTGAGCACCTTTGCGTGCACCTGTCGTCTAGAAGCGGTAGTTAGCAGCGAAATCAAACACAACCTGATAAACCTCAACCTCCTCTGTTGGAGAGGCTGGAAGCCTACCCTTTACCGGGGTCTCTTAACAGCGGAACGTAAGGAGGTGACGCTGCTTCCAGCAGTGTTCGGCGACTGCACATGGCTTCAGAGTGTGATGGCTGATTCTTCCGCGAAGCTCACGCTTGCGAGTGTCTCGTCGTCTTGCGGTCTGTCGAGTGGTAGGTCTTTTGAGTTTTCCTCACCTGAGAAACAGCATGAGCATGAGTTTTCGCACGATGAGCATGATTTTTCACAGCATGGGCATGATTTTTCACGACAACAGCATGAAACAACGCATGTTGAACCGAGTGTTTTGCCACATGCTTGCGAGGACTCTGTTGGGCAGTTGGTAGGTCAGTCGTCTTGCGACAGCTCAGGAGTGCAGTTGGTAGGTCAATCGTCTTGCGGCAGCTCAGGAGTGCAGTTGGTAGGTCAATCGTCTTGCGGCAGCCCTGGAGTGCAGTTGGTAGGTCAGTTGCCTGCTAGAGTGGTAAAGCTTTTGCAATCGAGTGCCGTGGATCCATCTTCTTCACCTTTGCGCTCGGGGACCACATCTTCCGATCGAGGCCAGTGGGTGCAGCCAGTTTCTGTAGTGCAACCTGCGTGCAGTGATTCTGAAGAGCGTTTGCTTGGCATGCATGGTCGGTTGGTTGGTCGGTCGGTTGTGCATGACGGTGTGTGCAGTTCGAGCGACAATGTAGGTGAACAGAGGGTTTCCGCAGATCGCCAAGGCACAAGCTTGAGCCTTAAGGGTTTAGCTGATGAAGGCCAGTGCGAAAAAGGGCTGGACAGGCCGGGCGGAAGCAATGGAGATATCCTCCGACGAGGAGGTAGGGGGGCCACCTGCCCCAAAGGCGACGGGGGTGAGCCTCGCGGACCGGGTCAACAGCTTCAGTTGGACCCCTCCTTATATTGCCCCAGAGGGGAAGTGGTCAAGCCCTCAGGCCCTGAGCCACAACAACCGCAACTTCTGCGAGTACTGCATGATCTGCGGGAAACACGCGACGGAGGCTCATTTGATGTCCGACAGCCACAATCACCACATGAAGTCGTGGATCGCCAGGAACCGCCCTGGTTTGAGGCTTCTACCGGACAGGCTTTCCGATCCCGAAAGGATCGATTTGATGATCTAGTTTCGTATGCCGGACTTGGCCGAGCCCGAGATCAAGAAGGCGAGGGAGCTAGTTCTCCAACTGGCTTGGTTCAGCAACCAACCGGCGAAGGCGGATGCCCCAACTTTGCCGCCAGAGGACGACTCGGAAGCCACAGCCAAATCCAGCAATGCACTTCCGGGAATCTGGGCGGAACCATCAGAGCCTCCGCGAGCCGTGTGCTTCCAACACAGCCAGAGCCGCGACGGGTGAAGGCCAGGAGGCGGCCTTGGCCAGACACTCTGGGAGTCCAGCAGCGCTCGACTCAACAACTGGAGGGAGCGCGGGCATTAACTCCACTGAGCGAGGGAGTGGCAGCTCAGGCCGTTTTCGGGTCACCTGTCAAGACACCACCAGGGTGGACGCCTCCGAATTCGCCTACGGACTCGGAGGACTGGGGTGCCTGGAAGCCAGCTCAGGCTGGCCGCGGGGATCTACGGCCAAAGACACCTCCCAAGTCGGTGGATCCGAAGGGGCTCGGGTCTATGATGCCCAAGACGCCGCCCAAGACGGCGCCATTGGAGGCACTTGCGGAGGAGGACACCGAGATGGCCGAGGACACAGGGATGGAGCAAGAAGCGCCATCGCCACCCAACGTGTCGCCGAGTGTGCCGCCTCCAGCACCTCCGCCACCACCGGTTTCGGCTCCACCAACATATTCGTGGGTGCCGCGCAGCTACCCACCTCCGGGTGCAGTGCTGAGTTCGCCCAGCGGCGAGAGCTTACACACGAGGATGAGGCTCGGGATCTGTACGGAGGCAGAAGCAGACTCCTGGAGGATTGCAGCGGAGATGGCCACAGAATCTCGGCGAGTGCGTCCGCGCACCGCATTGCCGATCCCACCTCCTGCTCCTTCCGCGAGCCGGCCTACTTCAAGCCCAACGGGGAGCGTTCTGGGGCCACCGCTGGCACCACCACCGGCACCTCCATCGGGAACGTGGGTTATCAACCCGCCGCCACTTCCGCCAAGGAGATCTTCTCGCAGCCCGACCCCGTAATCGTCTCACAGCTTTCGAAGCCCGACGCCATGAATAATGGCCTTTTTGCTTTGCCAACGCACCAGCATGCATGGAAACATTCTAGAGTGCACGCTTCGTGTGAGTTCTGCGGTCAGCCATGTTCAGTTTTCAGTTCCGCTGCTGTTGTTGCCCCGTTGCAGGAAGAGGACCCCCTCAACCAGAAGAATCACAACAAGGAGCCCAATACGCAACCAGAGGGTCCGGCCGGTTTGGGTTTAGCAGCAGGGCAGGGAGAGCTGATCATGTCACAAGATCCGGAGACACGCCGTGAGCTGCACAAGCGCCTGTCACATGTCTCTCAGGGTCATGTGCCATACTGGGCGAGCTGTGAAGCTTGCAACAGAAGCCGAGGGCTGACGCCAGCCCGCATGCGAAGTGACAGACCCGATAAAGAGTATCAGGTAGATCAGTTCATGTATCGCTCAAGGTGCTTTATTATTCTAGTGCATGTGCTTGCTTTTGCGATTGGAGTGACGTTCCGACCGGAAGGGATGAGTGGACGCGAATCAGCCGGGCATCTCGAGCCGTGGCTAGCTCATTTTGGGTTAGGCCAGAGCGCTGCTCCTAAGCCCTCCTTCTACTCAGATCCGGAACCGCTGACCATCAGCATTGCACAGGCCCTAGCGGAACGGTATGAGGGACACAGTGAAAGTTTTGCTCCGGAGCGCCACGCTCCCGTTGCTGAACGAGCAGTGCGAACCTTGAAAGGGATTGTGTCTTCTCACGAATTACAACTCCGTGAAAATGGTGTTGTCCTCGGAGATGATCCGGGTACTTTAGAGTTCCTTTTTAGATACGCGGCACACGTGCACAATCGATTTGCAGTGTCGGTCGGGAACACCATGTCTCCTTTGCAGAAGCTGCGGGGCCACGACCACAAGCCCCAGTTGACCTATCCCTTCGGGGCTGTCGTTTTCGCAAAGGTCAGCCGTTCTAGCAAAGAGGAGGTTGATACCAAGTATGCCCGCGGGGTGTACCTGGGTCCTGTGCTTGGTTCTACCGGGCACCAGGTGCGTATCCGGCTGGATTCTGGAGAAACCAAGTTAATTGTTGCGCCGGGTCTGAAGTTGCTCTACCCTCTTCGATACGATGCTTCGTTGCTTGACGGGGCCAGGCCTCTGGAAGGCTTTGTGCCACCTTTGGATGAGGAGCGCTTTCGCGAGCTCCACCTTCGGGAGGGGGACCCTCCAAAGAATGGATCCGCGAGCACGGTGGCACCCCTAAGTGCCCCGGATGCTCCGAAGAAGCCACGTCCTCTCGCCATTCAATAAAGTGCGTCCGGCGCTACCAGCGGTGGCTCCGAGATGCTGTGGACAACGCTCTTGAAGAGCTTGGTCGGGACCCTCCGCCCGCTCAAGACCCACCTGCCAAGCGGGTTCGATTCGGTGATTCAGAGGTTCGTGAGTTTCCGGCGCCCTCGGCGCTCTCAGAGCAAGAAGTAGAAGTACCACAGATCAGTGCGGAGGCCAACGACCATCTTAGTGACTACGAGCCCTCGTTGCCCTCCGAGGACGAGGGAGAAGATGATCTGATGGGATGGGTGTCGCCGAGGCACCGAAGGATGATCGCCCCGCGATTCGGTTATTGGAGGAAATGTGGGCCTGCGGCTGCGTCCGCTACGTTCCCACTCCCTTGACCGCGTGTGATGTGTATGATTTGCAAGCGTTTTGCTCGTTGCTTGTCGACGGTCGCTCCTCTTGCGATAAGTTGCCGTACTCTTGCATTGCGTTGCTTGAGCATGAGCGTGTGGAGCATGACGTTGGTCGGTCGGGCTTGAGCGTGCCAGTTGGTCGGTCGAGTGGCGACAGCGTGTCGGTTGGTCGGTCGGGCGTGAGCATGTCGGTTGGTCGGTCGGTTGGTCGGTCGGACCTGCCTGCTTGCAATGATCAAGATCAAGAGAAAGAGGGCACATATATGCCCATTGGGGATCGCTGGGTTTGGGTCTCTAGGCCTCGGAGTTCCTACGACGACGTCGATGGAATTCAGCTAGACAACAAAGAGAGCTGGGAAGGAATGAAGACTGAGGTCAAGGCCGTCGACTCTTTGCAAGTCGGCCTCCTTCGTTCCAGGTCTGAGGTTGATCGCTACCAGGAAGAGAACCCGGGTGCCGCGTGATAAAGTCACGGTGGGTGCTGACGCAGAAAGCCCCAGGGCTTGTCAGGGCACGCCTCGTGGCGAAAGACTTCGCGCACGGCAGGCCTTCTGCCCTTGATCTTGGCCTCTCTTCGAACACCGCGAGTGTGGAGGCACTCAAGCTCATACTTTCGAGAGCCGCTAAGGGCCGTATGCGGATTTGGGGTTTGGACATTTCTACTGCATTCCTGTTTGCGAACGTTGTTCAACCCACTGTGGTGGAGCTCCCGAGCTCTTTCTGCCTAGAAGGCGGAGGCCCCGCGTACTTGATCCTAGAGAAGGCCTTGTATGGCTTGCGCAGCGCGAGCCTAAGTTGGCAAAGGCACCTCGGTAAGATTATGGTCGGCCTGGGCCTCAAAGCCTCGCCGCTCGAGCCCACGCTCTTTAGTGGATGGGTTCAGCTGGGAAAGAAGTGGACGTATATCATCGCCCTAGCTTATGTGGATGATTTATTGATTGTCTCCGACAGTCAAGAGGGGGTTGAGTTTATCCACAAGTCCCTGAGTGCGGTTCTAAAGGTAAAGGTCACCGGAAGGCTCCATGAAGATGGCCAACTTGAGTTTTTAGGACGGATTATCAAGCTAGATGGGAACAACATCACCCTTGGGGTGAAACCTGAGTACGTGCGTTCAGTCTTCTCTGCCTCTGGGTGGACCGAGAAGGACCTGGCTAAGGTCAAACCTGTGGCCACAACCCCCGACATTAGGGCTCTATATGATGCTGAGGACCCTGAATCCCCATCGCCCTCTTTGTCTCCAGAAGCCGCGGGTAGGTTCAGGTCCTGCCTTGGGAAGATTGGTTGGTTGACCCAGACGCGCACTGACATCACATATTTCCACTCTATGCTTTCGAGAGGGCAAGCTGCACCAAGGATGGTGCACGAGGATGCGCTAAGGAAATTTCTTCGGTGGTTGGTCGGTTGTCCGTTGCTTGATCAGGTCTTTCCCGCCGGGAGCGGGGAAACTTTGGAAGAAGAGGGTGCCACTTTGGTGGCGTTCTGTGACAGCAACTGGGGCAGTGAAAGTAGCACCGGGAGGAAGAGTACTAGCGGTGGGGTTATCTACGTAGTGGCCGGTTCCCTGTGGTATTGCGTAAAGGGCCACAGTAGGCTACAAACCGTAGTTGCCTTATCCTCTGCCGAAGCCGAACTCTTTGCCATTGCCGAGGCCGCTAAGGAAATTGCCGGTTTAGGTCAGCTGGCTTCTCACATTTGGGGCGAGATCGCCAAGCCCCTCGCTATCTACACCGACAGCGCATCTGCTCGCCAGATTGCCAGGATGGAGGGGTTCCTTCGGAGGATGCGACATGTAGACATCAGACTTTGTTTTATTCAGGAAGCCCCCTTAGTGCTCAAGCGCCTTTTGCGCTGTTTGAGGGGCCGGTGTGGCCAAAACGGTGAGCCTCTGCTTTTAACGGTAAAGGTGCTCTAGACCAGGCCCGGGGCTCCCGAACTTGAATTTTGCTGGCTTTGCGGCTGGCTTGTAGCGTAGCTTTGTGCGCTTTTCTCATGGATGGCGATGACATCAATTTGGAACATGGCAACTTTTGCATGGCACCTGACGACAATTTTCTGTTGGAGCATGGCAATTTCCACGACATTTCTGCAGAACTGCACATCCGTGCACACATTCTTGATTTGGTGGACGATGCTTTGCTGCTTTCAAACCGCTCTGCCCAATTGTACGGCAGAAGCCTGGCGGTGGCACTCCTGCAGGGAATGGGTCCATGTGAGATGTTGCAGGTGGCGCTCTCTGTGCTCCCACTGCATGAAGGCAGACTGCTGCAGGGATGGGCTCAGGTTCATTACCCGGCACTGCAGCCAAACACACAGACCACACGTTGAACACGGTAGCAGAGTGCAAGACCACAAGAAGACTTCGAGCCAAGACAGCCTTAAGACCTGCGTAGCTCAGCCAAGTGCGACTAGGAAACGTAGCGAGACGCGGCCTCTTTGGCATCGGCAGAGGTGTTGCCCTCGCCTTGCTGCCTGGACACTGCTGTTTTGTAGCACTGGCACCCCTGAGGCTGCACCTTTCGTCTCGACTTCCAGGCCCGGGATTGCGGTGTGGAACAGTGTTGGGCAGCCTGCACAGCCGGTGGTGTTCCACGGCTACAGGCTGCCTGCCGGCACACCTCTACACTTGGAACCAGGTAGGGATGAGCAACGATCATACCATGACTCACTCACTGAACTTGTGAGGCCGGCTGGGAATTCACTTTGGCGTCTCAGGTGGGAAACCGGCACCATTGCAGCTACCTTTCATGCTTCCTGCGAATCTCTGAGGTGGTTCTTACCTCAGCGCGGCACTTCTGCGAGTGCCCTCGCTCCACTGTCAGCTTCAGGGCCTGTGGTGAACCACGGCTGGGCGGGCTTGCAGGTACCTCTTTGGACAGTTCGCTCTGCAGCTAAAGCGGTGGCCCCAGCAGGGCAAAACCTTGCCAGACCACCTGCCCGAAACTGTGCATCTGTTAGGCCCCCGGGTGACGTGCTCAGACGATCGTACCAACTAGACGGAGGCTGCTGGGAGCACCCTAGCCCCGTGACACCTTGCTATTATCTCTCAGCTGCTCGGCAGCCTTGTGACAGGTTTACGGCGCAGTCTCTGATCACCGCTTGGTGGTGTCGACCCGACCTTTTCGTCGGTACCTCAGCACTGCACTTGACTCTGGAACCTGTGGTGAACCACGGTCGGATCGTATGGCAGGTCCCCGGGCTAACTCAGCCTATCACTGCGACCCCCAGGCCAGCTGCAGCCACCATTGTTGCGGCGCAAATTGACGGAGATACCCAGCACCCATCAGTCAGGTCGGGAAACAGAGGGCCACTTTACGGCCAACCTGTCGTGATGTCCTCGGATTGCCATTGCACCCATCGGCTAGACCCATACCTGACAACAGCGGTCACGGCCAAACCGAGCTTGAAAACATGTCGAGTGCTCAGCCTGCATCTTTCTGCATGCCATGTAACACGTCGCCCACTGAAGCTTGTGATTCTGCTGTCTCGGCTGACTCTGCTTGCTTGCACGTAGTTTTTCCAGTGTCGCTTCATTGGGACGGTGGGGCAATGGGCAAGCACCGTAGTTGGAGCACACGACAACGGTCTGCAAACCGGCCGGGCAAGAAAGAGCGTGAGGCAATCCAAAGCACTGCTGCGGCGAAGTGCTCGGCTTGCAAGCCGAAGGCTGCTGCAGCACCACCAGTACGGATTCCTCCCCCTCCTCCAGCCCCTCCAAGGCGACATACAATCAACCATCAGTTGAAGGCCACCGGCTCGGACCTGCCGCGCACAATACCACTCCATAAATCTGATCTGTCAAGCAGCTCTACATCGGGAGCGGATGGTGGGCAGGTGCGACTTGATGCTTTGAGGGGGCGACTTCACCGCATGTTGGTTAAGTACCGTGGGGCTGTTGATCATCCCACCTTTGTGACCATGCAGCCTCTGCCGTGTACAGCTCAGCAGGGCGAGCCTGGCTCGGCCTCTTTCTCCACTAGTGTATCTGCTCCATATCCTAGGCCTCTGCCAGGAGCAGCTGCCAAAGAGCATGTCTCGGCGAATGACAATCTTCACGACTCGCTAGCAGATCTAACTCCTAGAGAGTACCGACCGGACATCGCATCGTGGGGCGCGCATTGGGACTACATGGGGGGCTGCCATTCGTTTCACACTTGCTGTGTCTCCGAGAGCCGCGTTCTGCTGAACCCACTGTTCGCTCATGCTGCTGCATCCGCTTGTTTGCCCTGGCAAACTGCACAAGGGGCCCTGGCCCACCGTGCCGTGGGACGAAGGTGTTCATCAGGGCTGCGGTGGCTGCCGCGACTTATCTTTTGGTCTCTAGCTGCTGCTGCAACCGCCACGGCAAAGCGGCTGCCTCAGATCGTCTGCTGGCTGGGCCGTCCTGGCACTCGACTATCACATCACCGCCGGCGTCGCACACGCAAGGCAGTCTGCATCATTCTGCTGTACTGGCTAGGGGTCTTGTACTCTCCTGAGGCAATCGAACAACATCGGTGTCAGCCAGGGCCCGGGACGCCATTGTCCTCTCTGCATCAGCCCATGTCTAGCCGAGCCGGGCTGAACAGGATATACCGCGGCTGCCCTGGAATCCGGTGCATTTGTGATGGACCCAGCTATGCCAAATTGCTCATATTCATTCTTCAGTGTGCCCTCGGGGCATTTCCAAGTGTCATTGTCACTGCCTTTAAAGGCTCATGGGATCACTCCCACACCGCCTCAAAGGCTCAGAGCACTATGCACGGTCCCAAGTCCGTGAGAGGTCGACCAGTTTCGCACAGTTATGGACGGCACATAGGCAAATTGTTACTTGTGCTTTGTTTCTTAGTCCACTTCACTACGACCTCTGGGGTGAGGGTTGGCGCCTCTAGTACCCGCTACGCGCCAGGAGCGTCTTCGATGCTTCCGTCAACTTCCCAGTCTGCAGGGGACGTTAAACACGGGGATGGGGTAAGCCCCAGGCAAATGGCAACCAGCGCGCAAACGCGCCTACCGACGAGCACTCGCCCGGGCCCGGAAAAGCCCGGCGGGCGGGGTCATGTACAGAGGTCACTGGCTAACTGGAAGAGCCGATCTTAAGGATCGAGCTGACACCGAGATTTCCCAGGCAGCCACGGAGGCCGGACCCACCATCGATGTACTTAGCTGGAACTGTGGAGGCCTCACCTCGGCCAGGTATGCCGAGTTAAAGCAGTGGCTCCACATGCAGACCCCACAGGCACGTCCGGGGATCACCATCATCCAGGAGACATTCTGGAAAAGCTCCAGTGAGTGGGAGGACGAGCTGTTCTCCTATGTGCACTCAGGCACGAACCGCAATAAAGAGGGGGGCTTGTTGGTGATAATCTCGAAGCAAGTGTGCCAATCGAACCTTATCAGGTATGATGAAATTCAGCCGGGCCGCCTTCTCCACGTCAGGCTGGCAACGGAGCCATGTACCAACTTGCTAGCAGTCTACCAGCACTCATGGCGAAGTGATCTCAGCACTGCATCAAAAGAGCTGCTGCTCTCTAAGCGTGCCACGGTTTGGCGCAGGATTCAGCAATTTGTGCGTGGGACCTCTGCCCGGTCCCAACTTGTGTTGGCAGGTGACTTCAACTGCCCTATCACTGAATGTCTGCCTTTTGTTGGCAAGGGCAACCGTCGCAACATCCGCGCGGGGCACCGTGAACTTCCGCCCATGGCAGCCGACTCGGATGAATTTCTTGATATCTTGAAGAATGAGGACTTGCAAGTACTCAATAGCTTTGGCAAGTCGGGCCTGGCCTGCAGCACATACATCAACGCGTCGCAAAAGCCTGTTCAGGGATCGCAGATCGACTTTATCATCATGCGCCGATCTCAGGCGGACGACGGCAGTCGCTGTGCCCAGCTTCTGCGAGACTTCCCGCTTCTCCCCATTGAGGGCATGTGGCATTACCCACTGCGGGCACGCTTGCCGTGCCCTCGGTTGCCACGACACCAAATGCGGGGACAACGCCTCACACCTGACTCTGCTTCACTGGCCTTGAATCAACAGCCTGTCAAGGCACAGCAGTTCCAACAGTTGGTGGCGCAGGCACTTGACCAGTGTGCCGATATGGAAGGAATCAACACTGCACTTACTCAGTCCTGGTCCCAGGTCTTCGGGCCCGTTCGGCGACAGCGTACGGTCCATGCCAAGGACTGTTGTCTTGCGAATATGTGGCACCATAGAACCAGAGCCACACAAGCTAGGTCGTGGATGGCCCGATGGCATCACATCTCCCGATACCAGGCCATTCGCCGTACTATTCAGCAGCGTGTGCGGGCTGCCAAACAAGCCAGGCTTCAGCAACAACTTCTTGATGCGGAGTGTGCGAGCACCCGAGGAAACCCCGGAGCATTGTATCAAATCATTCGTCGAATTGCACCGAAGCTCCGACGGAGGAAACTGCAGCTGAGAGACGAGCATGGCCGACTGCTTGGCCCCCGAAAGGAGGCGGAACACATACTTGCTCACTACTCGGAGGTATTTGCTTCAGCTTCTGCCACGGAGGACTCCTGGCTGACGCAGCCATTCCACTTCGAGGAAATGGAATTCCAGGCCGCTCTTTCTGAACTTCCGTTGCATAAAGCCTTGCCTGCCCACTGTGCCCCTGCCCCACTCTGGCGCTGGTGTGCTGATACAGTCAGCTCGTGCACGGCTCGGCTCTTGAAGTGTGGCTTGCAAGCAGGATCGTTTAGGCAGCAGTGGCCACTTGAATGGGCGATCTCATTTCTGTGTCTCTTACCCAAAACAGATCAGAAACTTGACGCTGTGACCAAGCTCCGCCCCATCTCCTTATTGCATCCTCTTGGTAAATCTTTCGCTGGCATGCTCATGTACCGGGTTAGGGACACCATCGCGCACAAGCTGGCGGACACTCCACAATTTGCCTACTTAGTAGGACGGTCAACAGCAGATGCGGTTGATCGGGCTGTGTGGCACATCCACCAGACTAGGCAACGGGTCGGTCAACAGCACACGATCCACCACAGGCGTGCGGGTATACCCCAGCACGAGATCCGCGGCAGCCTTACTTTGAGCATTGACTTACGTAGGGCCTTCGATTCCATCGACCGGTGTCTTATCACTAAGTCGTTGGAGTGGGCTGGCGTGCCCACTTCTCTGGTCGAGGTCATTGTCGGCATACACGAAGCCATGCGTGTTAGCTATACTTCTTGCTCGGGAGAGGCCCTGTCCACCGCGACAGGACGCGGCCTCCGACAAGGATGCCGTTTGGCCCCTATCATTTGGGCCTGCATAACTGGCTATTTGATGTCCAAACTAGGCCCGTTACTCGATCAAGGAGAGCTGCGTCCCCTGCTCACTCTGTTCGCAGATGACACTCTGGGCCAATGGGAGATACAATGCAAAGAGCACCTGTCCATGGCATTGACCCAGGTTGCCTTCTTACTCGACTTCTTGAAGGCACACAACCTGTGTGCCAATACAGAGAAATCGGTGATTCTCATCAAGCTGGCAGGTGCCAAGCATGTGTCGCTCTGGAAAAAGCACACAACGCATGACCCCGAACTGGGACTGTGCGCCAGAATTCCGTGTCAGGGTCATCATGTACTGCTCCCTGTTAAGTCCAAGCACAAATACCTAGGAGTGATGTTGTCTTATAACCATTTGGAACGCGAGACGGCTGCATATCGAACACGTTGCGCCCAGGCCAGTTTTGCGAGGATCCAGGTGGCCACTAAGCGCACCAGTAGACTTTCTTTGCGCTGCAGGGTTCGCTTGTGGAGGGCAGTGGTGTGGACCACGATGTGTTACGGCATTGATTGCACAGGCCTCGACATCGTTGGACGCCGTCAGCTTTATGCCACGGCAGTGCGACACTTGAGGGCTATGGCCAACTCGCCGTCTCACATCAGCAGGGAAACCACCTCGGACCTTCTGCTCAGGCTGGAGCTGCCGCACCCTGCGGATATGCTGCTTGACAAGACAAAGGCCAGACATGAACGCACTAGTCAATCACAGGTCTTCGCATTGCAGCCACAGGGCCTGACACAGGTTTGGGATGCTGTTCTGAGCTCCCTTGAAGTGCCAGGTAGGAAGTCCCCTGCTCCCTCACAACCAGCTGTTGCGGTGACACCGCCGGCTAATTTGTCTGCTGTGACACAGGAGGACAATTGCCCACCTGAGCCTGCAGCTGAGAATGGACCGGAGGACCCGGTGGAAGTGATACACGCAACACCTGCTGAGGTCACGACACCCACTGAGACGACGAACATTTTCTGCTTGCAGACTTTTCTTTCTTTTAAAAACCTGACAGGCAGCAGAGCTGCCGTGTTTTGCATGTGAGTTTTTGAAGAACATTTCTTGCATGAGAACTTTCATTGTCTTTGAATAAGCAGTTCGGATACCTTTGGCTTTCCCGCGAGTCTGCTCAAAGAGAGAGGCAAGAAATTTTTCTTTCGAGGCCTCTACAGTCCCGTATTGTGCAAGCTAACAGCCTCCAGGTGCTAATCTCAGGGCTCTAGCTGCGTGCACGGTGCCCCCTGTTGGGGGCGCTAGATGGACGGGACAACTCCTGCGCCTCAGTCGGCGCCAGCCACGTGCCCTGTTACAGGGCAGCTTCTGCCGCAGGTCGCCGCTCCGACTGAGCCGGCACCCTTCCCGCCTGAGCCTCCATTGTCCCTGCCGCCAGGATTGCCTTCGGCCGGTCCCGAGTCGGTGTCCGGGGGTGTTAGGGGACTTCGGGACTTCGGGGTTACGGTTGGCGATTTGCCTGGTCAATCCGTTGAGATTAGTGACGAAGACCAGGACCTCGATCAAGACCGCTCGAGTTCTCCTTGGAACCTGCTACATGAGAGGGAGCCTGAGGGCAACAGCCCTCGGGAGTTTGTATTTTCAGAGGACAGGGACTTTTCAGATTTTGATCTCGGGAGTCTTGCCAACCATGCTTCGTGGGATAAGGAACCTTCAGACTTAGCTTACGAACCTTCCCTTGCCGAGGAAAGGGAATGGTACTCTCAGGTAGGGGAAACGGATCCGACAGAACCTCATGAAGCCTTTCCCCCTGGGATTGTTCAGGGGGGGGAGGCAGTTTCTTGGTTAAGTCGGTTAAGTGGTGCCGCTGCGGATGATGATGCAATACAGGCAGCCACGGTGGCCTTCTGCAAGAAGCGACGACTTGATCTGCCCTTGCAGCCTTGGAGCCAGCCCAAGACCTTTCTTCAGAAGTCTTATGATGAAACTTTTGGTTTTGTGCCTGCAGTGGGGGTGAGGGAAGTCTTCATGGGTTCTGCGTCTTCGGCAGAGCCCGCACCGGAGGCCGCCAGTGAAATACCTTGGACCGTGATCCGTCGCCTGACGCGAGTCCGGTTAACCCAGAGCGATGACGACATTCGAGATGCGGCCTTGAAACGTTTCAAGGTCTTGATACTGCTAGACCCGGAAGCTACTCGCCTTGGGGCAAGCCTGCTCAAACAAGGTTTGGGTCTGGAGCCTGACGAGGTGATCGCTTCTAGCATTGCAGATGCCTTTCGTGCCAAGGCCTCCACGACAATCCAGAAACGAGCCCTCTCGCTGCAATCCTTGGCTATCATGGCTTATGACCTAGGCTTTGAGTCACCCTGGCGCTTGACCGAGCCCCAGGCCTATGAGATCTTCAGCAAGCTTCGCAGCTCGGATGCCAAGGCCTCGACTGCCTCCCACTTCGTGGAAGCTCTGGGGTTTCTGCACGGGGTGGCTGTTTTCAACTTCATGGCCTTGGACATCATTTTATCTTCAAGGGTGCGGGGCATTGCAAGAGACATGAAGCTTCACAAAGAGCCGCTCAAGCAGCGAGATCCTTTATCTTATGCGAGGGTCAGAGCCTTAGAGGGGCTAATGACCAAGACTTCAACTTGGGTACAATGCGTGCTCGGCTTCATGCTCTTCTGCCTACACTCTTGTTGCCGCTGGGCGGATGGTCAGCGAGTCAAGGGACTCGAGCTGGTGGGAGAAGGCCGTGGGCAACTTTTGATTGCATCAGGTCTGGGGTCTAAGACGTCATTGACGGCCGACGCCCAAACGAAGTTTCTGCCGTACGTATGCGTGGCTGAGGGGGCGAGCGGCCAGCCTTGGGCAAAGTTGTGGCTGCTTGCCCGTACTGCTGAAGGCCTTGACTTCTCGGCGGGGTGCCTTCCGTCGTGGTCTCAGCGTGCCAACTGCTGGGCAACAGTGCCTATGAGTTCGGAGGAGGGATCAGACCTCCTTGAGGAGTTCCTCCTTACCATTGACATGGGGGCCTCCCCTGACGAATCGATTGGTACCCACAGCTTGAAGGCTACCCTGCTTTCATGGGTGGGGTGGAGCTCCACAGTCCATTTTAGTGCCAAGGAGAAGTTGCTACTTGGGCATCACTTCAAACGGGGAGGTTCATCTAACCTCATCTATTCCCGCCAGTACTACATCTCCCTTGCAGGTAAGCTCCTTGCACTTTTCGAGAGCATTAGGGCTGGAGATTTTGATCCCGACATGTCAACCTCTGACAGAGTTGCAGCTGTTGCGTCGAGACACTTCAGCCGCCCGGAGCCAGACGCCCCGGTACCGCCGAACGAGGATCCCGACGAGCTGGAGTCGCTGGCTTCCAGGTCTGCCGAGTCCGAGGCGGAGTTCTTCGGGCATCCAACGGTGGCTACTGGATCAAGGCTCCCCTTTACGGAATGCACAGTTGATGATCCACTCCCTGTCAAACATCGTGCACAAACTGAGGGATGCTTCAAGCTTCTTTGCGGGAGGCCGGTCACCTCTAGGTACAGAGTCTTCACCACTGAAGACGAGGAGGAGCCCGAGCCGTGTATTCAGTGTCGTCGGGCATCGGAGTTTTGACCAGGTCTGAGACGCCGCAGACAAAAGCCGTAGGGAGCGAGTGGTTGCAACATTCACAAATTGGGATGCCAGGACCTGTCGAAGCCTCATAAGTCTTGAAACAGTCCATGCTGATCGGCCGGCCTTTGTGCCCGTGGCCTCGGCCGTGTAGTTATGGCGCTACGATGGCTTAGGGCTGATACGCAAGGTTGGGCATACCCCTTTGTGTTTTTGGGTCGGTGAGTTTCTCACCCGAGACCCGAGTGATATATCTGACGACAGAACTTGTCGGTTTGACCCATGACGGCTTGAGAGAGAAGCGCTGGGATTGATTAACGCGGTGATGACTGTAAGTCCGAGTCACCACATGCAAATGTCAGCCGGTATCTCACGATACCCGGGGCTGGCCTTGTGATCGTGTATCGCCTTGTGCCGGCCAGGGTTGGCCCGTGGCACGGGTGGATGATTGAGCTGCCCTTATTGCGGCCGTGGCTCACAGCGGAGGACCATGATGGTTGCTGGCACGAGAGCATCACCTTCAAACGTTGATCCAAGATCACCGAACTCGGGGGTTTAATCGAGATCGCTTGCAGCCATGACGTCGGCCACCTTGGACTCGGAGGCTGCTTTTCAAGAAAGGTGTCTCCGAATCGGCATGACGCCGGAGCTGTATGGCAAGCTCAAAGATAAGGGCTATGACACCTTCGGGAAGATCGCCTTTGCTGCTGCGAGCTCCCCGCAGGCCCTTACCGATGAGGCCATCGATGTGTGGTTGGCCACGGTCGTAGATCCAAGGCCTTCAGCGTTCCAGGTTTCGGTGATCAGGCGGCTCCTATTTGAAAGCCAGTCGCTCAACATAGCTGACTTGCGGACCCGTGTGGAAGGCCAGCCTGAAAACACAATCAAGAAACTTCCCACTGCTGAACGAATAGCCAGACAAGAAGCTCAGCAGGCTCGCTTGAAGGGAGTCGTCTTCACGGTGTCGAACCAGCCATCCCATGCGAGCATCGATCAGGTCACCGACATGTTGGAAAACAACTCCTTGCGGTATCTGCCGATGAACAGGTGGACCTCCCGGTCACAGGAGCTGAGCTTGGCAAAGAAGGACTCGTCGATCCAAATCGACGCGGAGGGGAACCTCAAGCTAGGCACTAAGGTCCCGGATCCGGTTTGCGACACAAATGGCGCTTATGCGCTTCGGCAAGCCTTCTTTCGCCGCTCGCTTGCTCTGGACCTAGGGAACCTCTGCACCTTTGAGGTGATGGAGGAGTGGGTCAACACCATCTTCGAACTGACCCAGCGGCAGGTTCCCACCGGGTACACCAAGGTCTCCTTGTCCCAGATTGTAGCAGCAGATAAGGAACTCTTCATCAGGGCAGCGAACAACCTTGAAGGAAAGCTCCAGAAACCAGTGGGAGCTACCAAGCCGTTGGATGCAGAGCTGAAGCGTTTGTCTGTGTCGCATGACATCACGCAGTTCTTGTCACCCTTGCTCACCCCGCCTCCGCCGGCCCATCCTAACAAGAGGCCCCAGGATGGTGACGACGATGCACCGCCCAAGAAGACTAAAGGCAAAGGTGACAAAGGCAACAAAGGCGGGGGCAAGGGCAAGACACCAAGGATCGAGATACCTGAAGGTTGTTCCGCGCGTGATTCGCAGAACCGGCCGAATTGTTTTGGGTTTAACTTGGGCACCTGTAAGGCCAAGGTGGTGAAAGGTAGGTGTCCGAAAGGATTTCACCAGTGTTGGAAAATAGGCTGCAACAAGAATCACCCGTACAGTGAATGTACGCATGACATGCAGTGACCCAGCCAATCGGGAGGTGGGCCAGCTCCTGAGGCAGCTCCCTTGGCCCACGGTGCAAGCCGAGCTACATGCTCAGAGTCTTTCGCGAAGACTCTTAATTCAGTCAATGTGCCGCCGTCCCGTCTTGACTTGCAAAAGTTGCATGAACATATTGTTGCGGATGGCTTGCTACGTCCTGACGCCAGAACTCAGCAACCGAATTTTGGGGTTGGGGCTTTTTCCCAGGGAGGGCTTCAAGGTCTGCGTGGTGAGTGTAAGAACTTCCCACAAACGACCAAAGCTATTACAGCTTTCGTGCGAGCTCAACTCCCGGATCTTTTCTTCACGACTGTTTTCCTGTTTTGCAATTCCATGACATCAATGCATGTAGATTCCAAGAATCATAAGTCCCCCACTGGTGTCATACCGATCGGAGCGTTCACAGGAGGCCACATCTGGGCCCAGTGTGACCATGGTTCGGTTATGCGCCCCATCAACGGCACACCGACCGCTGGCGAATTACTTGATGTGTCTGCTGGACCCATCACCTTCGAGGCTTATTCCCGAGGCCATTGTACCGAACCGTGGCATGGCAACAGACTCATCGCTGTGGCATTTTGTGTCTCTGATTTGTCCAAACTTCCTGTTGCCGATGCAAATTCCCTTTTGTCCCTTGGGTTTAGGCCCCCGACCTCCTTGGGTTTCCCACTTCAGATCGCCG